TCCACCTCCCCTGCGCAGCCTGCCATTCCATCCAGCTCTTCACCTCCCCTGCGCAACCTGCCATTCCATCCAGCTCTCCACCTCCCCCTGCGCAGCCTGCCATTCCATCCAGCATTCCACCTCCCCCTGCGCAGCCTGCCATTCCATCCAGCATTCCACCTCCCCCCGCGCAGCCTGCCATTCCATCCAGCTCTCCACCTCCCCCTGCGCAGCCTGCCATTCCATCCAGTTCCCCACCTCCCTCTGCGCAGCCTGCCATTCCATCCAGCAAAACCCCTGCACAGCCTGCCATTCCATCCAGCATTCCACCTCCCCTCGCGGCCTGCCACCATCCAGCATTCACCCCCCCCGCACAGCCTGCCATTCCATCCAGCTCTCCACCTCCCCCTGCACAGCCTGCCATTCCATCCAGCATTCCATCTCCCCCTGCAGGGACTGCCATTCCATCCAGTATGCACTGTGCTGTACGTCCATACAACCGCCATCCAGAGTGCACTGTGCTGTACATCCATACAACCGCCATCCAGCGTGCACTGTGCTGTATGTCCATACAGCGGCCATCCAGCGTGCACAGGGCTGCACGTCCATACAGCGGCCATCCAGCGTGCACTGTGCTGCACATCCATACAGCCGCCATCCAGTGTGCTCTGTACTACGTGTCCATCTAGTGTGCTCTGTTCTGTGCGTCCCTATAGCGGACATCCAGTGTGCACTGTGCTGCACATCCATACAGTGGCCATTCAGTGTGCACTAGAAAAATCTAGCTCTGGTGGGTAAAAAAAACTCACCCTTGGCGAATATGCCGTGGGTCTTCCAGTGGCGGTTAATTTTTATAGCCTGACGAGTAGCATGGGATTAGTCCTCGTATAAAACTGTAAATGAATAAAAGTCTATGTGAAAGTTCTGCATTTGCAATATGTGTGTGTTTAGGGCCAGGCTACAAGAACCTGCTCAAACCGTTTCATACAGAACTGGGGCAGGACACCAAAACAACAGGCTGTATTGTCTATGGTGTTTACACTGCCCCTTTTATATTTTCCAGGCATACATATAATGCACTGTAAATCAATGCATCCACCATCAGTGTGCACTGTAACTCTGCCTATACATTACTTCTATGAAGCAATCATCAGTTTTTACCGTACGGTGCCTATACATTGTATACATCTATACATCTCTGAGCCTGTGCTCTGACTGAGCGCCGGAACCACGGGGGAGAGGATATAATCTGACTGCACCTACTGCTGGTGCGCACCAGTGGACCACCAGCGAATCGTTTAAATTGAATAGGCTGGTGTCCCCAACTTGTGAGCTGTGTTGGCCGCCGGGCGCCTCTGTTGTCATGGCACCCTGCGTGACCGCACAGCGTGCACACCCCAACGGCTCGCCCTGCTGACACACACTGACGTTACTACTTAGACATCCCTCAATATTAATACAGACATCAGAGTAAACACCAATAAACTGTGGAAACAGAGCTGATCCCCCTAAATTTATAAAGATTTGCTTAGTGGATTTGTTGTAAGATTAAATCATACCTCCTCCTCTCTCTCTCCCATGCGCTGCTCTGTAGGCTGGGAGGAAGTGAAGAGTAATCACATTCTCCCAGCACAGCGCCACCTGTGGCTGCAGGGGGAACAGCTGGTTAATGTAATGCTTGCAGGACGGCCAGCTGCTGCAGAACCTCTTTGTTCCCGTCTCTGCAAAGGGCTCCAGGCACTGCTTGCTGTGAGTGTGAGCCACTGTAAATTAGGGGCAGAGGGCACTTGCACTGCGGTAAAGACAGGTCTTGGCAGGAGGAGAGTGCAGTGCAATCAGTGCACTCCCCTCCTGTGGGTCACCAATAGACTGGTGCACCTGCCCAGGATCACAGCCGGTGCAAGGATTTTTGCCGCCCTAGGCAAAAGAAAAATTTGCCGCCCCCCCATGTGACATCACAATGCCCCACCCATATGATCTGCCATATGAACTAATGCCAATGCAGTGTGTGTTTACATTAAAAAGCCTGCAGGGACCGGCTATAGACACCAGAACCACTTCATTAAACTATGAAGTGGTTCTGGTGAGGTAAATTATAGATTAGTGTCACTAATAATATACTAGATTGCCTACTTACAATCAGATGAGGATGGTGATGGGCTCTGGCTTCAGTCTGGCTCCACTGATCTGGTGTAGAACAGGATCTCTGGAGGCGGTTTGCAACTGTGGTCACAAAATTAAATGTTCTGGGAGAATTGGAAGCAGCTCCATTTTTGGGGGGCCCCTTACACAGCTCAAGGTCTGGGCCCCAGGGCCTGACGGTGAGTATGCCCATAAGACCCACTCATAAGTCCACTTATATATTCCACCCACCCACGAGTTCGCTCACAGGGAGTGGAGTGTGTAGGGGATGTGTTATGTGTTATTGTAGAGGATAAAATATGTGTGCTTATGGTATGTAGTGTATAGGGATACAAGTTTGTGTAGGTGATGCAGTGTGTTTGTGTGTAGTGGAAGCAGTGTGTATTTGTGTATAAGGGATGTATTGTGTGTTTCTGGTTGTGTGTAAGGGATGCATTGTGTGAATCTGTGTTTGTATGCATAAAGGATGCAAGGTGTGTGTCTGTATGTGTGTGCATTGAGTGTAAGAGATGCATTGTGTTTCTGTGTGTATGTAAGAAAAGCAGTGTGTGTGTGTGTTTGCATTGTGTGTTTCTGTGTATGTGTGCAAAGGATGCATTGTCTTTGTGTAAGGGTTGCATTGTGTGTCTTCTGTGTGTAAGGGAAGCATGTTGTGTTTCTGTGTGTGTAGGCATGCATTGTGTGTGTGTGCGCGTAGTGTGAAAGAGCTCCATGTCTTGCCCCCTGTCCTATAGAGCTGTCCCTTCTGTCCCTTAGAGCTCTCACCCATCCTCCCTGTGCTCTTCTCATCCCCTCCCTCCTCCCTGTGTTCCTCTTACTCCCC